CCCGACGGCTTCTCCCCTGCCCCAGGACCCGGCAGGGCGGGCACAGCCTGGCCGGGGGCTCCGGATCTGGCTGGATGCCACGATGCTGCTGCTTGGCTCTAGCTCACCGCCTCCCACAGCCCGGCATTGCGGGAGCCCCAGCTCCTCGCGTGGGTTCTGCATCGTGTGGGCCGGTCACGCAAGGAGGGATGCTAAATTTGTCTCCCCCCACGTCCCACCCTGCCCTAGGAGAGAAGAGCCTCCAGAGATGCGTTGGCGTAATAGCCCATGCAGCTATTTTAAAAGCTCTCCCACAGCAGCACGAAGGGCTGCGGTGCCAACCAGAATCATGCCTGCAGTGTCTAGAGCTGCCATGCAGGCTCGCTTCACCATTATGAAATTAAAAAAAAAAAAAAGTTCAATGATGAACAAGTACCCCGCTGCTTCCCATTCATTTGAAAAAAAATGAGAAGGAAAATGGCAAATTCATTTGCTCATGCTGTTGCGTGTTCCGGAAAAGCTTTTAAGGCTTCACATTCAAGGAGCGGCGGCAGGAAAAAAAATTGTGATTGAAGTTTCTTGTATAATTTCAAAACATTAAGTGGGTAATTGCTTGTAAAAGCCATAAAGGGGAGAGAGAATGAAAAAAAATAATCAGTCTAATTTTAGCTCCTGTTTTGGAAATGACTTTGCTTTTGAAAGTGAATATATTCTTTTACCAGAAAACTTGAATCAAGAAAAAGATGTATCTTTTTAAGTCAACTGCTTCCCCTGCTTGTAAGGACAAGGAGAAGAGCGGCAATGCTAAGTAATCCGGCACGGAAGCAAGCTAGGCGTCAGAGAAAGAGCTTGCCCTCTCTGGGCTTTCATTACCACTTTTCAGAAGCAATTCCTTTTTCAGTATGGCAAACTCTTTTATTAAGACTTACAACTCGCAGGGAAAAATAACATTCTCTTGCAAAGAGGCAGCTAGGTGATGACTGTCTTCTGGGTTTCAAAATGACCACCCAAGATCCTGATTATTTGCAAAATGCTCTGGTGTCTTCATGCCCTAACCAGGACTGCATTTTGCTTGCCCAAGGTGCTTGTTACTGACATTTTGCCTCCCGTCAGTAGTCCCTGTTAATGCAGAGGTGTCAAGTGTGTACGGGAATGTGAAGGCTTGTGTGGAAACCTGGTGGGATGCACAGCCTGGAACAAATCCCTGTCGGCTCTGGCAGATGGCTGAGCTGCAGGAGAGCCCTGCGTGGCTGCAGCAGCCCCGTAGCCCACCAACTGCGATCACATGGGCTCTGGCCACTGAACAGCTCTTGAAAGAGGGAGGGTTGACAGGGAGGAGAAACAGAACCCCTCCTGGCAGGGGAAGACAGAGAGAGGGGCATGAGACACCTCTGAAGGCCACTCTGCTTTTTGGCTGCTTGTCATTGCATCAGACTGCAGTGAGCAGAGGTGGCTCTGACGTGTCCAGCCCTACAGTGGTGCAAGCTGTTAATCCTGAACAGTAACCAGCAGTGGAAGGTGTTGGAAGCAGGAGGACACTCCTGTACAGCTATATCCCCCCCCTTTCTCTCTTTTCTTGCTGCTGCTGCGCTGACAAGTAAATGCCGTTGTACTTTGTCACGTTCACTGTCATGTGAAAGTCGTTCATCTAAGGAGCGTAGTAAGATGAATGTGAGGTTTTACTCCCTTCTTGTTTCTTTCTTCATGAGAGTTTAAAAAAGAAAACATCTAGCCCTCACTGACCTCGGGAGATCTTAGCTGTCAGAAGCAAACCTGGAATAGCAAGCATCTGATATAAGAAGAGAGCACTTCCTCTTGCAGCAGCATAAAGGAGCTGGAAGTGGAAAGGATTTCCCATAACCTCTGCATGCTGCTGAGGGTAAAATCCCTGCAAACTCTGGAAGACATTCGCAGGACAGAGATTTTACCACTTACCGCTGGCTGAGCAGTCCTCCCTTTCCCCAGAGCTTGCTAAATCAGGACGAGCCTTGCTCAGTGCTCCCTCCTTCACTAGATGATAATTACATTTGAATATTAAACATCCACATGGCTTACACAAGTCCCCTGATTAGCAAAGCACTTACCCATGCAGCAGAAGCAGCTTGATTTCGGTTTGGTAAACAGGCACCTAAATGCAGGTGGGTGCTCGTGGACCTGGCTGGATCGGGGCCTGTGTGAGCAGAAAGGCAATTTTACCTGTTACCGAGCTTTCACCACGTGCTTGGAGGCCACGCTAGTAACGACTTTTCTGTCTGATGTGTAGCTGGGTTGGGTACCACTGCTGCTTCAGGAGGGCTGGGCAAGATGCCGCCACGTTCTTCAGCGTCGCTGCAGCTGCTTCACACATCTCTGGGACTTACGCAGAGGTGAAGAATTGAAAAGGGAACCCCTCTCTGTATTAAATCAGGCTGAAGCTTCAGAGGAGAGTGGTGTCAAAAGCACAAGTTTGTTAGGGCACGACCAGGTGTAAAATGGATGTTGGAAGAGCCACGAATTTTTATAGTAAGGTGATTTCAAAGTGCTGATTCAGGGAGCCCTGTCGTGCAGCTGCCTGGTGAGGGCAAGGTTATAAAGGACTGGAGACAGTTTCAAACTAATTTAGTAGCATTTATTTACATTTTATTTTCACTTCTACCTGGGAGGCCGTGAAGGTCTCTGAAGAGCAGAGCTGGTCTGGTGATACTTGCAGGGACACGCATAGGGCAAAGGAAATGTTTCATTAGCCATCCTTCTCCAGGTGGAGAGGTTGCTATTGGAAATAGAAGTTTTCTAAGCTGATGTGTTTTCTTCAACAGAGAATTTCTCAGCTTTCCCATAGCTACCTCGCTGGAGGTGTTATGGAGAGATCAGTAGCTGTTAAGGTTTTATGCTGTCCTGGAAGAGCCAAACAAGCCTCCTCATGCTGGGACCCTCACCCAAACTCTCTCTCATCCTATCTGCCTCTTGTTTATAGACCATTTGCTGAAAGATGTGTCTTATGGGACAGTCATGAAGTCGGGGCACCCAGTGCTGCCTGTCCCAAGCAGGACGCCAGCCTGGAGTTTCAGCCCTGGGAGGGTATGGCAACAAGGCAGCAGTGCATAGGGAGGCTGGGAGGGGAAGGAGACACCTAATATAATTTTGCCGACAGATGCAGCCAAGGGCAGGCTTTTTTTCCTGTGACACGTAAGGATGTGTCTGGAATGATTTTATTTCAATTGTCATTAGAGGATTTTGCTGCCTGATTGAGCACCG